ATATGGAGGGCATGAATTCTAAATTTTTAAGTTTCATCTAATGATAATATAAAACAGGCACCAAATGTTTTTTTTTAGTGGCTGGTAATTATCTTTTTCATTAAAAAAACAAACATGAAATCCAAAATCCACTGTTATTTTTTACTGTTAAGACCACTCTTATTTGGGCATGGTAGTATAAACAGAGGCATTGAATCATAATCATGTGAAGTATTAATACCACTTTATAAAACCTTAGTAAGACCACACCTGGAATACTGCAGCCAGTTTTGGTTACCACATTACAAAAAAGATGTTGAGACTTGAAAAAGTTCAGAGAAGAGCAACTAAGATGATTAACGGCCTGGAGACTAAAATATGAAAAATGATTGCAGGAATTGGCACGGCTAGTCTAAAGAAAAGAAGGACTGGGGTGACATGATAGCAGTATTCCAGTATTTGAGGGGCTGCCACAAAGAAGAGGAGAATCCAAAGCACCAGAAGGCAAGGCAGGAAACAATGGAGGGAAATTAATCAAGGAGAGAAGCAACTTGGAATGAAGGAGAAATTTCCTAACAATAAGAACAATTAACCAATGGAATGGCTTGTCTGCAGAAGATGTGGATGGTTCATCTCTGGAGGTTTTTAACAAGAGATTGGACAGCCACTTGTCTGAAATAGTTTAGCGTCTCCTGCTTGAGTTGGTGAATTGGACTACAAAACCTCCAAGATCCCTTCCAGCTTTATTCTGAATTGAATTGGTTAAAGGACTTAAATGAGATCTACCATATTCACTGAAAATTACCATGATGGAATCTAGGAAAACTGTTGCATCTTCTTTGAAGCACAATCAGAAACTTCACTGTTGGGTGCAGGGTAGCAGATTTAAATATTTTATTTAAAAAAAAATAAGGTTGTTTTTCTTAGTACTCCACCCACAACAATTAGTAAATCCCATGTACATATTTAACATCTCAAGATTCTTCAGTTTTTGCATTCAAGTTGAATGAGTAAACAATACTGATGAGCAGGCTAGAAAAATAAATTAGTCCTGCAGCATGAGAACTATTTATCATAATTTTATTTTTTTAGTGGTGAAGGGACAAAGAATTCTCTTCACCAGGTGTGGATGATAAGCTGCATTTCTGAATAGAGATGACTTGGCTTCTTGAAAAGGTTAGTGAAAAAGCAACTTCAAAGTTCTTCCATGACTAAGCATCACACAGAGAAATTACTGGATTACAAAATCAGATCATTAAAACAAAATCCTAAAGAAGGAAATGGGGTGCATCGTTGGCTGAATTAATTGAAGTGTTTGTCCTTGTGAAGACTTACCTTTCCAGAAATTGAGCCTTGGTGTTGCATTTTCTATGCAACAGAGTACTTATCTATTATACCTATTCTTTTCCATGGAACGTGTCATGGAATAAGTGACACATTTTGAATTATTATGTATATAAGCAAACAACCATAGACTACCCCCACATACTTCAAAAATTGGACTTTTGCTAGAAGTAGAGGGACAGGGCTATTGGTAACAATGAGTCAGCAAAAATAGTAGCTTGCTTAATTAACATATGGGAAAATTCCTTCTACATCCGTCCTATTTCAGAAATAGGAACAACCACATTCAATGGCTCTTATTTTCTGAAATCTCTCTCCTTCTCCCTTCTCCCCCAGCTTAATTGCTTCCAAAAAAAGTCCATGGATTCAGCAGAATCTGGAATCATGTTATCTGAGATCTCATAGTTATTCTTCTCATGGATGGGGATTTTGCATCATTGCTTCTGCAGTCAGAATTGGAGTGTTGTTGACAGAAGGGCAAGGACACTAGCAGTACAAGCAACCCTAGACATTGAGAAACAAATGGTTTTTATTATTACATTTTGAATGACTAGAATCAAAGATGTTCAGACGATGCCTGTCAGTGATATCTGTTGTCTACTCCTCTTCCTCTTCCAATTAAATTGAAGCATCTGTTTATTTATAGTAACTTATAAAATAACATGTCCCAAATATTTCAATATTAAATAAATAATAAAAGAGAGTAGAGAGACAATATTCCAAGATATAAAATATATAGGAGTACTGTATATATGTAATCAAATAGATCACAGGTGTCAAATTCACAGTGTCTCATTATCTTGTGATGTTTTGCGATGTTTTTCCCCTTTGCGGAATTGGGGTTGGTGTGGCCTGCGCGGGATGCATCCAGCCCACAGGCCACCAGTTTGACACCCCTGAACTAGATTGATTCAATTTTTGAACCAAGGTATCTCAAACGGACTCCTTACAGAAAGTGTCCAAAGTCCAGCAACCATGACTCCCAAGGGAATAAAATGTGGGGAATTGTAGTTGCTTCCATGCTACTGACTCTGTTGCACTGCTGCCGCTGCGTCATATGATCTTCATTTTCAACCTTCTGTGATAGTTTCTCAGTCAGTCCCACAATCCCTTGCTCCGCCCTTACCCAGCAACAAGGAAGAAGCAACAACCTTAAGGTGTACAAAGAAATTAATCTCTGATGTCGGTCAAATATACTGGCCATTGTAATTTAGTCCTTGCCCATCCTATTTCGTTTTTCAAGTGAGGGAGCAACTTGAATTACTGCTGGTGTCAGAGGGTGCCGTCAGTCAACATATGAGCTATGTTTCTCCCTGAAGAGAGAATGATAACATGGCAGAATGGGAAGTGGAGGTGCAGTTTTCCTTGTGGTCCATAGTTTCCCCTCCCCATAACAAAGTGCAGGCAGTTCCGCAGGTCAGCCAAGGAGGAGGAGGAGGAGGAGGAGGAGGAGGAAATGATGCAAGCATATAACATGTGGGAAGTGGAAGAATGGGATGATTGCTGACTAAATAGGATTGGCTAGAGGTGACAGCAGTGCACAGATGATAAACATTACTGCATTAAAAATGGCATTGGCATGATTTCATGATTTACACTCAATTTACCATAGGATGAAGATGTCCATCTTCAGCAGACAGATATGCTTTGCTCCCACTATACATAAAGTGCAAGGACAAATCATGGAAAATGTGCTATCTGGAGTAACAGGAATTCCAGCATGGTCACTTTAAGCTGAGGAAAAAGAGATGAAATATTAGTGCAAGAATGTCACACTGGTGGCCCGCGGGCGGGATGCGTCATGTTCAGGCCACCCTAGCTCCACAAAGAGAAAACCATTGCAAAATGTCAAAGGATGGCAATGACACCGCAGGTTTGACACCCATGCATTAGAGTATTTTAAAGAATGGCAGATCAACCACCAATGATGTTATCAAAATGTTTTTTGTTAAATGAAAAGCATTTATATTTGTCTTGCTGTGCATGTTCTTTCTTTAATAAAATGGCCTTTCCTTTTTTCTAATCTTAAGACCAAAACAATAGCAATGCACCTGTGGTCATTCTTTCTCTGTTTAGGTTAGGAAATATTTCTGAAAGGATGACCCATTGGGTCGGTGGTTGTGTAGCAATTTATTATTTTTTTGTAAAATCTTAATAGCGACTCAATTAATCATAAGGCAATTCTGATAATGCTTCAATCTTTTTTTAATATAATCATTTAAAAATAATTTTGCTGGCATCACCAAGTGACATGAAGTACTCTGTTTTCTCAACCACTGTGTTCTATTGCAGTAGTTTATATTCTTTTGACTGAGCAATTGCACTACAATAAAAAATTTAAACAAAAAATCTACATTATGTTCTCCAGCATCCAGAGATTTATTATTTTTAAGTTTGGCAAAAGAGCCCCAAATTCAGGCACTTAACTACAAATTAAGTGAGGAAGATGGAAATACAAATTAAGGAAATATCTGAAGTCACAATCATCTGATAATAAATAAGATTAAACAAATCATTTGCTTTCAAACTATAATCCATAAAACTTTAAAGCTTTTCCCACTGCTTTTGATAAAACAGTTCCAGTTTCAGTGTAATTGTGTATGCCATTTTAGAAAGACAGGGTAAAATTGTCAGAATTAAAGGCATCTTTGTAAATTAATCAGAGAGAATGTTGCCAAACACCATTGTCCTTCCACCAGAGGGCATCCTTAGTAAAATCTTTCTGTCACAGAAAAAAATCTGTATCTTTAGACCTCATCAACAAGGCCAATTATATTTATTACACCCCTTTCTTTATTATCTCCAATATCAAAATTTTCCAACTGATAGGCCGAATCCCTTATATCACTGTTATAAGAAAATATTAGAGAAAACCATGGTTGGATGAATAAGAAATAAAGCTGAGCCTTCAGGAGTATAACTGTCATTGTGAGTAGATTTTTATTTTACTCATCTTTGAATTCAACAAATTAAGAGGAATGATGAGATTTTTATTAATTATAAAATATTTTAACAGGCTACATTTTAATACCAGAAAACAAATGTGAAGATAAGAGTGTAAGATGTTTAATACAAACCTGCCAGTTATTCAAGCTGATAAGCTGTGTGAAGAAATAAACAGGTGTTAACCAAAAGTTCACATTTAATAATTTTAAACTGTGTTCCATTGACAACCAAGCTGCATTAATAATACATAGGTTTTTATTTCCTGCCTGACAAATCACCATGCTCTTCACACCTTCCCCAGATTATATTCCTCTCCTAACTGTCTGAAATAGATTTCGCACAGCTGTGGACTCTGTATCTCCAGCAATAAGCACATATCATTTAACATCATTTTGTATAGTATAAAGTCTATATTGTGGCACTTTCCAAAGAAATTGATGCAGCCCCATTTGCTAAGCTTTGGTTAATTTGCAGATTTGATTGCCTAGATGTCCAGCTTCATAACTAAAAGGGCATATTCTCTTGGCAAGAAGTGTTCTGACAGTTTTGTTTTACTGCAGCAAAAGCTATGGGAATGCTAGGTGGTGTTTGCACTGCGCAACTGGGTCAGTCTATGCGTCAAAAAAAAAATGGAGTCAGACATGGAAATCCTAAAATTAATTGCCAGCATCTCGTAAAACCCTATTTTCTTTGCAAAGTGTGTTGCTCTTGGAAAACCTGGAGATGGCGAGTCTTGACTGGCTCCTTTTGGTTTCCATGGCACCCACTCTTCATTGACTTCACTGTAATGAGTCCGCCCAATTCCCCTAGAACGTTGATGGTGGAGGAAAGCTTCCGATTGCGCTCTCCGTGGTGCTGAAAACAATCTAGAGGACATTGTATTGACACGGCGCTGTTGATGGTGCTGAAATCTCTAAGGGCAAGGGGGGAACATTGAAGAGGACGTACAGTAGAGAAGAGTCACCCATTTGCGCTACGTGTGATCCTCCCACATTGACTTTAATTTACTCTTTCCAGCCCTGGAGGAAGTAGCTGATGTATTGCAAACAAATAATGAAATGCTAGTGCTGCCTTTGTGCCAGAGCATGTAGCACAGTTATCAGGGATTCACCCAAACTGGTGTGAGGTGAGCACTGGTAAGGATTCTATGCATATGGGATTTATTGTCTTTGACGATCTCTACCTCTATATACACAACCACAGCAAAATAATCCACACCAGTAGAGGATTATACTTACATTAGACTTTCAATCAAAGCTCCTTCAAAATACCAATGGTTTTGCTTGTCGTTTTGCTAATGGATTCTTCATCTTTAAGAGGACCTTTTAGTTCAGTCTCACAACTTCTGTTCTTTTAAGAAACCCATGGGCTTCAGGTAGACACTCAATCTTTTCCTTTTCCCCCCTTCCTGGCTCTGTTTCTTTCCGCCTCACCCACAGATATACATGTACAGTGTCTCTCTCCTCTGTCACACACACACACTTTCTCTTACACACATTCAGACACACACCCGCACGAAGACTTTGACTCGTCCTTTTATCTGGATGTGCAACATTCTTTTATGGAAAAAAGTTTAATATGGAACCAATATGATCCATCTTCGAGGCTTGTAAGGGCATCCTTGTTAACCTGGTGAAAGACAGTTGAAATCTTTACAGGAATGGAGTCTGTAAAACAAAGGATTCTGACTCCTGGGAAGGAGAAACTGAAAAATCTTGCTGGGAAATCACTCGGTCAGATCTATAGGTAAGAAAATTTTGTGTGTTTTCTTTTTAAAAAAATGAGAATAATGTGATGCTTCCACAGTGAGGTTCTTTTTTCTACTTCTTATCATAGAGGATAATTATTGTATTCGTGATCTATGTCTAAAGCTATGTGTTTATTTTCATTGTGATGCTTCGATATTGTTAATGAGGACTCTAAATTCAGAAGAAAGGAGGAAGGAAGGAAGGAAGGAAGGAAGGAAGGAAGGAAGGAAGGAAGGAAGGAAGGGATGCTTTGGATATGTGACACCTTGCTACTTGTTTGTAAGAGGATAAATTTGGTTTTCAGTCAGAGATGTGTCCTTAAGAATCCCAATCCTAAAAATCGGGTAATTCAATTCTGAGATGCCAGACTGTTATTCAGACAAATGTATATGGGGGAAGGGTAATTTATGCTTTGAAATGGAATAGTTTCATTTATACAACTGAGCACTAATAGGAAAACCTTTCCCCCATCTTTTCCTCTTCTCCCATAAAAAAATGAATAAATACGAGTTTTGATCTGCACTGATCAGTCCCCCATGAATGATCTTTTTATATGAGCAAAAAACATGCAGATCATAAATAATTGATAAATGAATGCCTTTTCTCTGATTTAAACATGCTCAAAAGAGAGACTAGGAAAAATGTCCTCAAAATAGTGATGCATACATGTAAATCTATCTGCAGAGGAAGCCAATCTTTTGTAGAGCAATTAATGATATCTATGACTATTAAAGAAATCAATGTAATTTCAACATAATGTCATATAGTTACAGTGTATGTGAATATACCTTATTATGATCTTAATCTTTCCATAGGAATTTTTTTTAAAGTTCTTGATGGTCAAAAGGGTGGGGTAAACCTGCAGAGAAAGGTCAGCTGTTAGCATTTAATTAGCAAAGCTTCCATTGCGGCAATTCTAACCCTTTACAGCACTGAAAATATTCTTATTATCTATCCAGAGTTTAAATGGTATAAATATCCAAGAGGCACGTAACAATTTCTGTGTGGGAGCTGAATCTACTATCAGTCCTGCAAGGAAGGAAGGACTAGATCACAGACATATTCCATCTGTAACCAATGATTTAAGTTGCTTTAAATAAATAGGATAATAAGTTTTGTTTATATTAATTATTATTATTATTCAATTTTAGTATTTTGTTGTCATTTTAACATGGATGAACTCTGTGTACATTTTTAAATGGCACACCTACACAAATATGACTCTTTTTGGCAATGTATATAGTGTCTTTCTGATTACCCAGCAGTAAATCAAATGAAACTATCCTGGAATATTTAATTTCATATTTGGAATAGAAATTATTCATCTTTTAAAAAGGAGATTTTAATAAGGCTCTTTATTTGAACAGATTTTTGTGTTATTTCCTCCCACAAGAACTCAACTGGGAGAGGTTTTAGTTGTTGCAAAAACCCGAACATTGTCCGATGTTTGTGCTTGCCAGGTTAAAATAGAATGGTTTATTTGATTATTGAGTTCTACTACTGTAATCCAGAGCAGAACACTTTGTGAAATTCGATTCTCATCATAGATTCAGGATCGGGGGAGAGTGGGGATTCTTCTGCTCCTATTGACTGTGAATCTTAGCTGAGAGAAAAGCTGTTAAGAAAAGCTCACAACTTCTGTTCTGTCCACGGTAACTTCAGTGTCCTAATTCTCCCAGGAATTGCTGTTACTCTCTTATTCTGAATTATTAAAAGACACTGATGTCAGCCATAGATGGTCAGTTACACAAAACGAAAGCGGGGTCGGGAGAAATGCTTCCAACAAATAGCCATGGTTTCTCTCTTCTTGAAAGTGTATTGGTTGCCTTTGTTGGGAAGATAACAAAAATTTTATAGGCATGCAACTTGAAAGGGTGTCAACTGTGTGTTTGGGTCACTGCCATGTATACAGTGTAAAGTACTTTGCATATCAAAGCCAGAAAATTTTAAAAGCATCCGTTTATTTTTATTTTAGCACTAATATGGAGGGGATACAAAATCCCCCCTGCTTAAGGCTGCAATCCTATAAATATACCCTCACCTGGAGGAAGTCTCACTCAACTCAAAGGGGATTATTGCCAAGTAGACTCACTCAAGGGATGAAGCTTTCATTATTAATAGACAGGATAGGTTTCTATCTTATTCTAATGGCAGATAGACTAATTTGCAGAAAATGCACAGGTGCAAGATTTTCTCCAATGGAAAAGTGGCGGACAGCCATTTTGAGATCTGAAAGAACCACACACCTGCCAATTGTATAGATTAGCTCCCTCCCAAGTAAGATTCTCTCCCGGGAATACCCTTACCTAAGCTTTCATCCTTCCTTCTCCTGTTTGCCATGCAATTTATAGAACGATTGAAGCTGCAAGACCAAGTCTTCTTGGAGCTTGGTAACAAAGACCATCTCTATAGCTGTGGAAGAAGGAGGTGCGTCTTAGCGCCTCCTTACAACGTGAAATAGTAAATTGGAATTAAATGTTTAAAAGGCCATTGACTGGTTTTCTTTGAAGTGTACACAGTTAGATAGGTACAATTCTGGACTTCCTAACTGATGGGGAAAGTATCCAGTTAGCCTAGCTTTTGAGGACAGAAAACGTGGCTGTCCTGCTCCTCTAAGGCCCTTAATTTCTTCCTTGGAAATGCTACCAATTATTTGGGAAATCTTAGCCAGGATTCGCATTTTCTCCCATCCACTCCCATGCCCTTCAAGAAGTAGTACAGAAAATAGGATTTATTTTAATCCCACTTCATTACATTTCTAGGATGTAGGGACTAATTGCTTATCGATCAAGTAAGAAAATACTCTTTGTACATGTTTGGGTGCTCCCCACCCTTTAAAAAAAACCCCTAGAATTACCGATAGTTATTAGGACTATTTTTTTTTTTTTGCGTCAAACTGTAAATCCCCAGCACACAACATACCCGCACACAATTCAAAGATAGTATATTTAAGTCGCCACCTCCTCCCGGTAAGCAAGTAGATCCCTTGACTGAGTTCTCTCCTCTGATTTGACAGAGTCCTTGAGAAAAAGCAGAAGCCCGAGGACAACATCGAGTTGACGGAAGATGGGAAGCCCCTGGACGTGCCCGCGAAAAAACCGCCTTTGTGCGACTGCACCTGCTTCGGGTTACCTCGGCGATATATCATCGCCATCATGAGCGGACTGGGTTTCTGCATTTCCTTTGGAATCCGCTGTAACCTTGGAGTAGCTATTGTGGACATGGTCAACAACAGCACCATCCACCGAGGAGGGAAAATCATCAAAGAGGTGAGCGAGTTCCAGGAACAATCCTCCCCTCTGCGCACAGATGATTCCCAAATGTCTTTCCCGACATCCACGTTGGGAAGCCAAGGCTGTTACCTATCGCCCCTTAGGTTGTGGTTTGAATTGTTCCCATGTTGGAGGAAAAGAGGCGGGTCTTTAGAACAAGATGCAAAGCGTTGCAGAGTAGAGGTCAAACAAGGGTGCCTACGGAGTGGCGAGGGAAAGGGATATTTCCTTCTTCCTGCTTTTACTTCCCACTCACCCGTTGCCTCTCCCTCCCTCCCTCCCCCCTTTCCTCCCTCCCTCCCCCCTCTCTCTCCGCCATTTCCCATAGCAGTGAGTGACATTTCCTTACATTGGTTCGCTTTTGTTGATTGACCTGTTAATGACAGACTGATCCCGGATCCGAATTAAATAAACACATCCCCCCTTTGATCACCTCGCCCTTCTTTCTCCTCTCGAAAAGCACCAAATGTAGGAGCCCTCCCCTTTTCCTATTATTTCCACAAAGCCTCCCAGGCGACTGTTTGGACTTCAGCCCAGAACACCCCAATCTTTTAAGTCACTGTTGAGAACCCCGTCTTCGTTCCCAGATACTCAACTAAACCTCCAAATTCTACTGCAGAAGACCAAAAGAAAAAGAAAAAGGGAAAAGGGAAAACGCCCTCGAACTCAGGTCGGCTTCTGATGACCTCGTGGACACGTTGTTTTGGCAATGATATAAAGGTGGTTTGCCCTTTCTCTTCTTCAAGGACAGAGATCCACTTTCCAAGCTTGGACGGTATCGGAAAATGGAACCGCGGGTGTTTAGTGGGGGGGGGGGGAGATGAGGAAACCCTAGGACTATAGGCTAGATTACAAAAGGCAACCGAAACGTCTGGAAGAAGGAAATGATAAATCGCAACTCGGCCATTGCCATTCAACTGCATGGCCGGGTCCATGAAGCCATCAAGGGTCGAGCGCGATCCAAAGGAGACCTCGGTCTGTTCCCGTAAAATGAGACTGCAGCTCCTTCCCCCATTTAGGAGTGCTGATTGAAGTTCCAGTGGTTAAAATGTTACTTCCACCCAGTTTTTATTTTTTTATCTTTTGTACTTCTCAGAATCGCACCGCCTGTGGATTGAAAGACAGATCGTACCCTTGTAAAAGGGGCGGCCCTGCTAGCAATCACCCCTCCCCCCCGCGTTTACTTGAATTAGAGCCTTCCTAGGGGCTAAACCTGACACCTGAATCTCTTAGGGACCCGCCCCTCTAAAATCGATGTGGGACAAGATGTAGCTATTACCCCGGCCCATCTACTCTTTCAGGTCGATAATAAATAATGATTACGAAAACTCATTCACACAAAAAAACCGAAACATCGAAAGGCCTGGAAAATGTCGGGAAACCTTAGAGTTCTATACATACGTACGTACATACATACATACATACATACATACATACATACATACATACATACATACATACATAAAGCGAAGGGGGGCGGGCGGAGATGGAACCTTCATTAAGATATGAGGTATGAGATAACCTATAGCAAGAGGTCCCTAACCTCAGAGAGTTGGGGTGGTAGAAGGAGAAGCCCAGGGATTGAGGTGTGGAATATCAAGGTGCAATCTTGATGCAAGCGAGCATTTTCTCCAGGGAATAATTACGTTGAGTAATAGCTGAAATTCGCCAATGATCTCTCCCGATCCATCAAGAATAGAACCGAGTCAATAAATGGCAAGACAAGTCTCTGCCGTAAGGTTTTGGCTCAGACCTGAGCGATTGCTCAGCTGGTGTAACTAACCTTGTGTGATCTTTCCTTCCAGCGGAGGATCACAGCCGCTTTGGGGTTGGTTTTTTTTTTTTTTTGTCTTGTTTATCGGCCAGCCTAGTCAGAATTGGATGTGTCACAAAGACCCATGCCTTCGCCCCCCGCAGGTTACCAAATAAATAAATCAACAGACAGGAATCAATTACAATTAAAATCACGGGGAGGGGCTCTTAGTACCCTATCCTAACTCTATTTCTGGTGAAACCCGATCATTAAAAAGAGACAAATTACTTGGGATACTTGTTGAGTATAGCAGAATAAAGGGACAACAACTGCCATGGGGTTACGACAGAGAGCCACGGACAGTGTAATTCCGTGGATTCCAGCCTCGCCCCAACTTCTCTTTAGAAATGTTTTGATTTAGCGCGTTGGCTTGTCTTTACCACCACCAATCCCCTCTCTCTTTCTCTCTCCCCCCCCCCTCTCTCTCCTTTATCCCTTTGGAAGAAAGCGAAGTTCAACTGGGACCCAGAAACAGTTGGCATGATCCACGGCTCTTTTTTCTGGGGATATATAGTCACGCAGATCCCCGGGGGCTATATTTCATCTAGGCTGGCAGCTAACAGGTAAGAGCAGCAGCCAACATCTATCTCTTCTCCGGCTGTGACGTGGAAGTCAAGGTAGCCTTGCTCGCAACACACTGTGTGGTTTTTGGGGGGAAAGAGGAGGAGGGAGCTAATAATCCCCCCTCCCCACGACTGGTGCGCAACCTCGCAGGGTGCATACTTGGGCTTCTTCGCCGGTTCTACATTGCGCACAGGGGGAGGGGCAAAATGTCTCGCAGCGTTCCTTGCGAGAAGAAAGAAGCAAACAAGTTGAGTCTCCGCTGCTTTCCTGAAGGACCTTCGCTTCTCCCTAACTGTACGCTGTCAAGAGAAATCGGGAAACCAGTACAAAACGAGGACGGGATTTCTCCCCTCTGAATAATAATAATAATAATAATAATAATAATAATAATAATAATAATAATAATAATAATAATAATAATAGGAACATCTTATATTTTAAGAAGGTACTTGGTTGATTCCTAGGACCCTGGCAGCAAATCGTATCAACCATTAGCACCCGTCAATGGTATTTGTAATGCATTTTTGAATGTTCAGTTGGCTGAGTTTCATGTTTAATGAATAAAGTATATAAAGAAAAAATAGTATTTAAATTGCTCAGGCTAGTCGGCCACTGTTTGAAATTCCCTCTTCTGTTGAACAATTCAAAGCGCAGGTATCCTGTTCTCTGGTCTTTAATGGCGGGTGGCCTAAATGTACCATTTTATTCGATGGGATCGTTCCCAAGTAAGCTATACGCTGTACGTTTCCACTCCTGAGCCCAGGGCGGGTTAAGGCTCACTGGTGCCCTAAGCACTGACAAATCTTGGTGCCCCCCTCCGTTGTACATATTGCACAAATCTTCACTGTTTGTTTTTTTCTTTCTCAATTTTGTGGTGCCCCCTTTGGGCCTGGTGCCCTAAGCACGTGCTTAGTCTGCTTAATGATTAATACACCACTGCCTAAACCCGTTAGTTTGGCTCTGCTTCAAGTCACCGGGCGGCCTTTAGTTTCATTCTCGAAAGGTCACCTTTACGATGTTCCCGCATTTTAATCCAGGGGTTTTCTGTGCCACGTTCTCTAATCCGCTTCAGACCAACGACTTATATTGTTGGGAAAGGGTTTTTTTTTTTTATTTAGAGAGGGAGAAGGCGGGGCTTAAAATACCGCGGTATCTATCGACCATCTCTAGAGGCCGGCCCAGAATGGGCTGGCTTGGTTTGAGTTAACGAAGCCTCGTTTTCAAACGACCAGGGTTGCTGCTCTTCTTAAATGTTGCTACTGTTACTATTATTCGAATAGAGATGTATAATCCAAATATAAAAATAAATTGCTCCCCGTGTGGTTCTACATGACATATTATGGCTGCTTTTGCGGCTGATTATCGAATAGGGCTTTATGTTTAACGCATCTTTGCTTGTTGGACCATTTCACCTGTCTCTCTCTACCTGGATTTTCTCTTGATGAGAAGTTGCTTTAGAGAGCGGTGCTTCTATTTTATTTTATTTTATTATCACAGGTTTATTACCCTAGTAGATCTTTCTGGCTATCACTGAAGCTGGCTCGAGTGTTTTTATTCTTAATTAACTCCGCTTTCAAAACAACAAGAACAAAAGAGGCTCTTTCTCTCCCTCTCTCTCTCTCTCTCCCCCATCAAAAAGCGGCTACAGTATTATTGATGGCTAAACGAATAGAGTGAATGAGCCGCCTTCTGTATGAGCCAGGAGGAAGAGAAAGTGACTTCCGAGGGTTTTTCTTTTTTTGCAGAAAGAAAGGAAAGCGCGCAGATGGCGCGGGGGTCTTAAGGCTTCGTTTCTATGGTGTCTGGCAAGAGGTTTCAGGCACCCAGGGAGCGAAGCTACCTGTTAATTAGATCCTGCGAGGATTCTGGGCTCAGAACGTGCTCAGCCGCTGCCGAGCCGCGCTTGCCCGCTGCTCATTAAGGAGGGGGAAAGTCAAAGGTCCTAGCGCCGCTCTTTCGCCAGCTTCGGGCCCGACAGAGAAGGGCGGCTCTTGAGGAGGCCAAGTGGGAGCTTCTAAAAGGCTCTGCCACGGGGGACCGAGCTTTTCCTAAAGAAAAAAAAAGTGTCCTCCCTTAAGACTGCAGGCAGGAGTCCCTCTTGAGACCCGAGAGCTTCATTAACAAGGAAACCACTTCAACTGTTAAGCGAAACCCACGATTGTCAGCTGAGCCTGTCGTGGTTTCCTTGGCGCCCACGCCGAAGAAGCTTTCGCCTGCTGGTCGTTTTTTTTACCCCTTTCCATGGGTACGTCTGCTAAGGTCACACACATTCGGGTGGGAGGTTCATACGGGGCGTTATCACGACGCCCTGACTCACAGAGTAAACTCGTGATGAATCCCATCGTTCGGTATATCGCGCCAGCCTAGAAAATTGGGTAGGTGAAAAAATCCTAATCAAGCAAACTTAGAAGGGAGGCGTGTTATGGGGACACAGCCTAGGAGTGGTGCAATTTTTTAATTCCAACGGAAAACGCGACATGTTGATTTGGCATGGCGAAGGAGGCGATGTAACCAGGTAGAAACGGATGCACTGCGGCGTGCAGTGATCACTCAAAGACATTTTTCCCCCAAAAGGCAACTGGACTTTTTTGGTATTTTGTTTGAAGACGTTTTGCTTCCTATCCAAGAAGCTTCTTCAGTTCTTGGATGAGAAGCGAAACGTTTTCAAAGAAAACATCAAGAAAATCCAATTGACTTTTGAGAGGGGGAAAACAACACCCTGGAGACAATCATGACCTGGATGATTGAGAATCTCCTCAGCCATGGAGCGATAACGTTTCCAGAGCAAACAATCTGTCCTTTGTATCTGAAGTCTGACGTAAGTGTGAATCTCCAAGTGACGATAAGGAAACAAACTTTCAGGTTTTCAGTGCTAACTGAAAGGTTACAATATATCTGCCTGAAAGGCTGATAGCAGAAATTCTTGCAAGCTATTCAGAAATCACAATTAAGTTCTTTTGCTAACGCGACCCAATGATCCGACTGAATTTTCAAGACAGACGGACTTATTTCTTGCTATTTCTTATGGTGGACAGGCATATTATCTAAAATAACTCATGGGTGTCTTTCTAAGCGTGGATGTGACTATGTTTATAGCTCGAACCCTTTGTTTCAGCGAGAAAGCCCCAGGTGACCGGACGAACTTCTATACGGGAAATCTTGATTTGAGAATAGAATTTTTCTCCATTAATTTCCCCAACGAGAGCCGTCATTCAACAGCCTGGCCTTCCACATTAAGAAAGATACTGTATTCAAAAGACAAGCGTGTATCGAGTTAACTGCTCTATAGTTTAATTAGGTCCCCAGATCTGAGCTATTTCCCTATACCGCACTGTAAACAACAACAATAATTTTAAAAAATCAGGATATATTTGTAGTTCAGACATAACAGCATCGCCTGTCGCTGTACCTAAAGCATTCTTGATTGATCGGTGCTGCAGTCTATTTCGCCGTCCAAATGAGCCCCTCTCACCACCACCTCCGATCGTCTGTTTGCTAAGGAGAACGTCTTATTTGCCGCCTTCCCTCGGAGGCAGTTGGACCGGGAAAGCGCTTGTCCTATTGGTGGGTTGTCCAGTCGGATGGTCCCTTCGCTCCTCTGAGGAGAAACTAAAAACTTTAGGGGCGAAGCCTGCGTGATTGGCACGCGATCAGTGAGGGAGCGTTGCCCCGGCTGCCTTTTGGTGGCGCAGTACGGACGTGGGGAAACGAGGCGAGGGGAAAGGAGCTGCCCAGCAGTCCTACTAAGACGCTGGGGGGTAGCTGAGAATCGTACCGTATCGACGTTCCTCCGGGTGGCAGCAGTATATGTGTATTTTGTTTCTAGGATGGGCTTTTAATCGACCGCGTTCTTGCCTGGTTCAGGAAAGCTTAAAGCGGGGGATCCCAGGTGGCCTGGCTTTTTTTTTTTAATGTGTAATTCTCCTCTTTCGCCTAAGTCTGCAACGGGGGAGGGTGGGACACGGACGGAAGAGCAGTAGTAAGAACAGCGTATGCCGGCTGAATAGACAGCTGTAAGCCAAAGACCAATGGGGCTGGGATAAGCGAATTGATACAGGCAGCCCTCAACTAACGACCACGATTGCGCCCAAAATTGATGATGCCAAGTGGGAAATATGTTGAGTTATGCCCCATTTTCTTGCCAAATTTGTTAAGTGAAGGATTACAGTTGTTAAATTGGTTTTCCCCATTGACCTTGCTTGTCACAAGGTCGCAAAAGGGGATTAATATGACTCCAGGGACACTGCGACTGTCATCAGTATGTGTCAGTTGCCCAAACATCACTTGACCAAGGGAATTCTGCAACGGTTGGTCATAAGTGTGAAAAATGGTCATCAGTCCACTTTTTTCAGTGCTGTTGTAACTTTGAATGGTTACTAAGCAAACTGTTGTAAATCAAAGACTACC